TATATATATAAAAATTACAAATATATAGTGAAACGGCACTATCAATACATGCTGTAAGCAAAACATCATAAAATAAAGGCTGATGAAAACACTGTACTATGAACAATATCTGTTCTCCAATTACTATATTAATAATAATAATTTCTAAATAGGAATATTTTGCAATAAATAACTGCATCAAGAAACATTCAATTAAATTGATTAAAAATCAAATTAATTAAAGTACATCATAGTGATCTAACATTCATGCATATTTATTTTTTGCTATTGCTATTATTTTTAATGATTGTTTTTATTATTTTTTATGTAAAGCACTTTGAATGACCATTGTGTATGAAATGTGCTGTATTAAAAAAGTCACTAAAGCTCACATACACTGTGTGAATGCTGAATGTGTGTGATACCCACTGTTCGGATGAAACATGTCACAGGTGAACTTCATCTTGGGAGGGCTGAGAGGGTAGTCTGAAGGGAAACTGAGGATGGCAGGGAACACACCGCCCTCAAAACATGTGTCCTCCGGTCCCCTAAAACAAGGAAAAATACCAAAAACATTAGCATACAACATATTACCGGTAAATCATTTTATGCATTGTTATGAATCTCTGTGCTGCAACAAAGAGCAAATAAAGAAACAAAGTAATGAAGCATTTCAGTAGTGACCCACAATCCCCCTAAGACGGGGCAATTAGTGGATGTCTGGATAAGCTATTGCTGTATTACCCACAAATCCTAAGCATTTAGCAGAGCTGTATTACAACATTTTTAAAGCACATTAAAGACTTATATCATGATTCACTCCAATCGGTTTTTCAGAATATAATAAAATCTTTAGCATCAGGAATTAGATGAACCCACATGGGGCTTGCAGAGGAATTTTCTCAGACATGTAAATAACTTCTGCTCAAAGTATATACCTTGATTATACACAAACTTCAGTCTAACTGCATATCTTTTGCTATTTATGAGAACCACTGATATATGAGGCAAGTTAAACCATTTACCGCCTTCAGCGTAACAACTAAAACTCAAAAACCCCCCCTGTACACTTCATCTTAATCATAAAAATCACACAAAGTCATAAATCACAGAAATTCATCCACCACTGACAGCAGTGGCAGAACTTCATGGAATCATTTTCAAAGGCCCATTTAACATGCAAATCTCTTTCTGTTGACTTACCATATCCAGCTGTCAATCAAACACTGTTTCTATGGGCAGATATTGATCGGTAATCACGATGAGCAGCGCATCAAACGAACACACTTCCGTATCTGTGGAACAGCTGTCAGGGGGTTGCTAGGGACACGGTTTCTTATTTTGCTTGGCACTTGGTTTCACTTAAAAACTTATCGGGCAAAACCACTGATCAAACCACCAGTTTGGTTTACCGGAGGACAGTCTTATCCAAAATCAAAATCAGTTATCATCACTTAATGTCCCCTCTCTGGACAAATGCTAGTGAATGAACAGCTGTGCATGCTATGAATGAAAAGAGGCTCCAGGCAAAAACGAATTCCAGAACTGTAAAAACTGACATTAAAAATTCCCCTGTAAAAAATAAGTATTTTTTTTAATTAAAAAGGGTGTTGTATTCATATGTATAGGATAGCATAATATACAGGTTTCGTGTCTTTACAGATAATATTGTGACTTATATCAGTTATAATTGTTCATTATGGTGTCATTTCACAATTGAATTTGCAGATATATATATATATATAAATATAAAGGGAAAATGCAAGAAACTCTGAAACCACTCAAGTGCTATTACTTGCCTAAATAACAGGACATTTTCCCCTGGCAGACAACAAAATAAGAAAATCTCACTAAATATCACAACAACCTTGAGTGGGCTCTTTACATACGGGACAGTACATAACCTAGAACACCCTAGCAACCCCACAGCATCACGTCAGCATTTGGGACTACTCATATTTTACTCAGAAATAGTTCAAATGTATTTTATAGTATCATTTTTATTTTTAGTATATTATTTAGTATAACATGTTATTATCTGTGTCCATTTTAGTATATTATTTTTTATTTCTTTAACATGTTATTATCTGTGTCCAATCTGTACACAGATAAACTAAACTGAATAATAATTATAATAATAATAATAATAATAATAATAACAATAATAATAATAATAAATGTTTTATTATTACCCTCTCTGCTGGGTCACACCAGACATGGCAGAGAAAAGCTGCTTGATCTGAATAATTTTAACATCAAGAAACATTTTCTCACCCACATTGAGCTCTATTTTATGGAAGCTTGTTTCCCCCACATACAAAAAAAAAAAAATAATAATAATAAAAAGTTGCAATTACCTTATTTAGACTTTATATCTCTCACTGACTTTTTTGTTGCAATTCTGACGTTATATATCATAATTCTGAGAACTGAAATATAAACTCAAAATAACTCTGAATGAAGTCAAAGTCCTTAGCGGATAAAAAAAAAAACAGAACAGCAAGATGCAAACTCAGAATTTTGAGGAAAAAGTCAGAATTGTGAGACACAACCTCAGAACTGAAGATATAAATTCAAAATTGTGAGACACAAAACGTCACAATTACCTAAAAAAGTCAGAATTGTGAGACATAAATTCAGAATTGTCAGATATAAACGTGCAATTCTGAGGAAAAATCTGAATTGTGATTTTTTTTAATCTGCGGCTGAAACAAATCAAAAATAAATAAATAAATAAAACAAAAAACAGAATTGTGCAATGAAAACTGAATTCACAGAAGAAAAAAAAGTTCGAATTGTGAGATGTAAACTCAGAATTCAGATTTTTTGCAAGAAAAAAAATCTCAATCGTGAGATAAAAAGTCACATTTACCTTATTTATTCATTCATTCATTTATTAAATCTTGTGGCGGAAATCGGAATCAATCAAAGAGAATAAAACACTAAACAAAATCTTCTTTACAGTCCATGGATAATACTTACATAATCAGAGCCTCCCATTCAAAGAAATTTTCTTCATTTAAAGGCCCTGTAGGGAAAGAAACGAGTCTCATTAATTCATTATCTTATTATAAAAATAAATCTGTTAATCTATTATACAGATAAAAATGGTTTAAGTACAAATTTGATTAAGAATCTACTGCAAAAGCAGGACAATGGAGCAGTTCAGTAAGTGCCCTAATTCTTACCTGCTACAATCCCCTCTGGAGGGTTGAGGGTTAGTTCTGGAAAGAAAGAAATGCGTTGAGCTAACTGTATCCATATAATTATGTTCAACAGGAAACATATATAAGAAAAGACAAGCATCACATACTTTCCTGCAGTGGCAGCCCTAGAGTACAGTACGCGGGTAGAGAAATGAAGTATGAACGTGAATTAGGAGTTACACGGTCAGTTTCAGTGTGTTTGAGGTTACTTAAGGAGGTTACTGTTCATTTATTAACTGGACCTATTTTAATGATGCATGCTGTCAGCATATGTTGGTGAAGTTCTGGAAGTATCTCCAGCTGTCAAACTGTTGCTACCAAAACACCCTTCACAAGCACCAGCACTGCGCTACATTAGTGTTATCAGTGACATGACTTACGTTTGTATTCAGCCATGAGTCTTTTTAAAGCTGTTCCAGCCATTTTACAGCCTGGGCTGGTCTAGAAAGAAGTTGTTTTGGCACGAAGGGTGACGACAACTGACACGATGAGAAATCTTGTTCTTCCGGGACAAAAGCGAGCAAAGAATTTCGCGTGCAGGAGATTTTCCACTCGACCTTTACTTCCGCAATCCTCATGACGTCACGTGGCCATTTGTTTTTTCCCCCGTTTTTCCTTTTCACTCAAACTGATATTTCAATACTTAAAGCAGCTGAAAAAGGGAACGCCCTAAAACTCTCTGAATTACTTGTGCAATATATATATTGAATAAATATACGTTAACTGTATAAAATATTTCTCATTTGTAATAATGTAGTAATTTTGTATTCATTTTTAAAATATGTATTTATTTATTTACTTCCGTTTCCCTTTTCTCTCATTATGTATGCTGTTTGAATTTGTGCTTGTGTGTGTATTGATTAAATATATTTATTTAATATTAATAAAGAGTTTATTTCATATTCAACATGTGTACTTACTGTATTTAGTAGCTAATTCATTCTTATTATTTTTAAAATATGTATATATTTATTTATTTCACTTTTCTCTCTTTATGTAGGCTATGCTGCTTGAATTCATTGTGTTTGTGTTTAACAGTTATAATGCCTGTTTATTATTTAAAGGAGTTTAATATATTTTTTTAATTCAACATTATTATTGTTCAGTTTATTTCGCTTTAAAAAAATCAGTTATTATTATTATAGTTCATTCTTTAAAGCAGCTGAAAAAGGGATGCCCTAATACGCTCTAAATTATTTGCACAATATATATTGAATACATATATGTTAACTGCATTTCATATTTATCATTTGTAATAATTTAATAGTTTTGTATTCCTTTTTAAAATATTTATTTATTTATTTCTATTTCTCTTTTCTCTCTTTATGTATGCTGTTTGAATTGAATCTTTATGTATGCTATTTGAAAGCGTTTAATACAGGGTTTTTTAAGTTCAACATTATTTTTGTAATGTTAAATAAAAATAAATAGACGTGCACTTGCACTTGGTTTCGTACTAGAGTGGATTGGCTTTAGCCCAACTATATACGCAGAAAGAGCCACAGTGACCTCTAGCGGAAGCGTCTGAGAAGAAGTGCGATTCTGTTTCAATGGCAACCGTCACAGAGTTGAAAAGCGGTGAGCTAATACTCATAAACTGTCATAATGCATCATATCGTTGCGCCAACGTTATGATTATTTTGCGTGTTTGTTTAATAACAAATCTTCAGTCATAAGGTTTGTTATTAATGTTGTTAGATGTTTAAACGTAACGTTAACCCTCAAATCTCTCCACAGTTGTGTAGGCTATAGCTGTGCAAGTTAGCTCAACTCACTTTCTGTCTCTGGCTTTTAGCTTTGCGAGAGACGCTGGAGGCCCGTGGGGTCCTGGGGCAGCTGAAGGCGAGGATCCGGGCGGAGGTGTTCAGCGCGCTGGACGATGAGAGCACGCCGCGGCCGCCGCTGTCCCACGAGAACCTGCTGATCAATGAACTGATCCGAGAATACCTGCAGTTCAACCAGTATCAATACACCGCCTCGGTGCTGACCGCAGGTGAGCAGATGAGCCCTGCAGGAGGACCATACGCACGGTCACTCAGTTTATTTCTCGATTACACCTCACAACTGAACACACATTCTAAAAACAAACTTTTGAAGGTTAAATTGTTTAAAAAAAAAACAATGTATCTCAGAATCAGGTCAGCCTGAAGTTCCCCTAGATCGGGAGTTCGTGGCCAGTGAGCTCAATGTCACAGAAGATTCAAGTGCCAAAGCAGTGTAAGTATGATTTGTAAGTAAAACTTTTATAGAGCACCTTTTTAAAAAGTGTGTACAAAGTGCATAATAGAAGACACTGAACATTTATGTACAAGGCACAACAATAAATATGGTCCAGGGTCACTGTGAGGGAACTAACACTTAACCTAATATACTATATCAAATATACTAACAATTATATTATATTGTATTGTATTATATGTGACCCTGGACCACAAACCCAGTCATAAGGGTCAGTTTTTTTGAAATTGAGATTTATACATCATCTGAAAGCTGAATAAATAAGCTTTCCATTAATGTATGGTTTGTTATGATAGGACAATATTGGGCCGAGATACAACTATTTGAAAATCTGGAATCTGAGGGTGCAAAAAAATCAAAATATTGAGAAAATCGTCTTTAAAGTTGTCCAAAGGAAGTTCTTAGCAATGCATATTACTAATCAAAAATTAAGTTTTCTAGAATTACGGTAGGAAATTTACAAAATATCTTCATGGAACATGATCTTTACTTAATATCCTAATGATTTTTGGCATAAAAGAAAAATCAATAATTTTGACCCATACCATGTTGGCTATTGCTACAAATATACCTGTGCTACTTATGACTGGATTTGTGGTCCAGGGTCACATATTATTATTATTATATTATATTATGAATATAATATGTGTAATTCAAATAATACATGCATAACATTTTAAATGTAAATATTACATAATTTCATATTTAGCAATGATTACTATCATTTTTCAATATGATAGATTTTTCAAGTGTTGTATAGCTGTAAAAGAGTAATGTTATAAATGTAACAGTATAAACTATTTGTTGTTATTTTAATATTTGTATTATTTTATTTTATTTTTCATGTAAATTTTATTTTATTTTTAAAAATCCTGCAAAAAAAAAAGTATCTAATATTTGGTGGTGGGGCCAGTAAAAATGTTGGCAAGTCAAATGAATTAGAAGGATTTAAAAATTGTTCAGCTGTGACATAAACAAACAAACAAACACACACATGCATAGGGAAGAAGAAAAAATAGAGATTAAATAGAAATTAAAAACGAATAAGAAAATAAAATGCATAAAAAGTAACTGGAAAGAAGAAAATTCAATTACGGAAAAGCACTACTAAACAAGAGTGCTATTAGTGTGATACTTTCTTCAAGTGTTAATTTGAGTCAACTGCACGTAGGCTGTCTGGCTGAGAGATATACAGCTTGGGTCCATAAGTGATTTAGAGCTGACTTGTTACTTTCAGCCTCATTTTAACTACAACCAGCAAGGAATGTTGATGCAATACCATAAAGACATTAAAAATGTAATAAAAGGGTCTTAAATCCATTCTGTGAGACACAAGTAGACAGTGAAGTGATTTAAGTGCTGAATGTGATTCCTCGGTCTAGTACAAAGAAGCGTTCTTTCTGCTGCATTCGTAACTCATTGTAAGTGTTAGATAGAGCTCTTTGGTAAGTCGGCCAAAACACTACTCCAGTAGTCGAGTATAGATGTAACTACTACATGAATGAGTTTCTTGCTCATTGCATTATCTATTCTAAACCTCTGTTCATTGCATATTAAAAGAACAGTTCAACCAAAAAAAACAATCATCGTTTACTCAGCTTTGACCATTTTTTAATCGTCAAACATAAAAAGAGATATTTGGAAGAATGTCCAAGAAGCTCTTTTGACATGGGGCTTTTGGTTAACCATTCCTTTATGCTTTTTGTATTGCTCTGTCTTGCTGTTTTAGGCCATTGTTTTATGGATTGCTCCATCATTTCCTTAGCAGTAAGGAAGAGCACAAAGGAAAACTCTTCCTAAGAGGCTCAGCAACAGTGCCTTCACAAGAACCTCGTGGCCATCGTAATGCAGAGTCATAAAACTGAGGTAAGAGAGGGCTTGAGTTTGACTTTGTTTTCACATATTGATTTAATGTGAAGATTAACAAGTGTAATTTTTAGTTTCATAAGCCTGAGAAACGTTGCATCCCATTCAGCTGTTTCTGTTGTTTCCAGCTCCGCAGTCATCAGGAACCAACACACAAGAGGAAGTCATATGATCACAATTAAAATAATTTGCCATTAAAGAGGCCAAAATATTCTGTCCAGCTTACTCCGGTTGTAGATGTTGAATGTATTATATTTTTGACTTTTTAATGTTGGTTTTTGTACTTTTAGTAATAGTTTTATGAATAAAACCATTGTGATTGTTCAGTTTTGCTTCTCAGCTGTACAAACAATGCAGCATTTTGCAATATATTCGTATTCCTCATATATTAAATTAAATTTGACATCCAGTTAACTGATTTTGAATCTGATGTTTGTATCATCTTCTTTTAAAAGCTGTTATATGCAATATTAAATTTACTTTTGCTGTAAAATAACAGCAGCCTTGTTTTTTTGTACACCTATTTTTTATTGTTTTTGTTCTATTTTTAACTAATGTCAACAATGATGAAGCATGCAAATTGTGGTAATTTATGCAGTCTGAATTGAAAACGTTAAAGGAACACTCCACTATTTTTGAAAATAGGCTCATTTTCCAACTCCCCTAGAGTTAAACAGTTGAGTTTTCCCGTTTTCGAACCCATTCAGCCAATCTCCGGGTCTGGCGGTAGCACTTTTAGCTATAGCTTAGCATAGATAATTGAATCTGATTAGACCGTTAGCATCTCGCTCAAAAATGACCAAAGAGTTTCTATATTTTTCCTATTTAAAACTTGACTCTTCTGTAGTTACATCGTGTACTAAGACCGACGGAAAATTTTCAGGTACTGCGTAATATCATTGCGCCTGCTGCACCCATGGTGTGCAAATAGTGGAGTGTTCCTTTAAGCATATTTTAAGATAAGTGCTTTGATTGTTCATTTTAAATGGCACAATTTCCAAAACAAGCCTGGATTGTTGGCTAGCTTCTAAAATGAGTCTTTCTGGTCCTTGAACTTTGAATTTGGAACATTCTTTCTTTTGATTGGTTTTCATCCTTCACTTTCTTATCATCTTGCCAAAGCCAGCCTGTCTAGAAATGACATTTGAGCTACTGTTTCTTACTTAAGCTGTTCTCACTTCAAACTTCGAACTGTCTAATGAATTCATACTTCATACAGAAGAATATGACATGTTATAATCATTCTTTCTTTAATTTCTTAAGTGCTTCTCATTTAGAGTCTCAGTTGTGTCATTATATGTTTGGTTTTCTTTCACCTTAAAGCAGCAAAGCTCACAAACACTGTAAACCTCATCCATTGCCAAGTTCTTCAAATTTCCTAATTTTCCTCAAAAGGTAAGTCACTTCATACTCACTCAATACTTCATTTGATTTGTTTAG